TTTATCAAGTTTGAACGATGTTCCTTTTCTAAAGACTAAGTTTGGAGGTTCAATGGAAATAACTCGTGTTGATTTTGGGTCCATTATAAGGCTTTGTTACGGTTTTATAAAAACATAAATATCGATAACTTTTACTTCGCATGTTTTTTATTGATACTGTTTTTCCTGGGTACAATTTAAGTTCCATTTTAGGTGTAGAAAAGTCAATGGATTTGGTTGTTTTGGAAAAAAAATCAGTTCCTAATAAGTTAAGTCTGCATTCTGTCCTGGCTGAGACCCATATTTTGACTTTAATTGGATATTCGCCATGAATATCGAAATTTGCTTCAAAATTTGTATATCCTAAAAATTTAAGTTTTTCGCCGTTTTTTGCTACTGTATTTGAATCGGATTCATGGATTTTTAAGGGATGTTGCTTAAAATAGTTTTGTTAAGTACCATAATTTACAAGAGAACATGTCACTCCAGTGTCTATCAAATATTGGGTTTATTGGCCGTTATTTTTATTTTTTGCCTCAGACGGGATGTTGATAAAGATTATAATACATTTGTGACTTTTTATCGCGAGGAGACTGCTCTAGTTTAAATTGATTTCTCCACTTCCGTCATCACTGAAAAATCCTTAAAATTTCTCGTCACTAAATTTTACCCTAGGATTTCTATCACGATTATTATCCCTAGAGGATGTTCGTGTTTTATTATAAGGTTTTAGCTGATGATTTTAAATCTGTTCTAATTATTACCGAGTCATCTTGAGTTTGGCTTCTATAACTATTGTGTGAGCTTGATCTTCAGTTTCTATCAGAAAGAGAATTACTACGATCTCGGTTTCGATTATAATAATTAGGAATGAAATTACATTCTTACTTTTGACGATATTGATCAATTCTGCCCATGGCTCAATTATTGGAGGTTTTGTCTCTGCATCCAAAGCTTTGGGGCCGGGATATATCAAAATTATTAGACCTGCTATTGATTTGTCTAGGATATGAGGAATAGGGTCTATTACCATAGTTTCTTTGATCGCCGTTATTGTAGTTTTGATTATCTCTAAGTTTGTTTCTAAATCTAGATCTTCGATTGTAATTGTCTGAAAATTTTTCTCGATATTGAGGTGGTTTTTGTTTTTGTGTGACCTGACATACGCTTATTGTTTGACCTGACCTACAACACCATAATCAAAATCTGGTACGATTTTGTTTGTTTCTTGGTTCACATGGGTTATAGGCTGCGTTTATTTCTTGATCTTCCATTAATCCTGTTAGTTATTTCAGTTGATCCCTTACTCTTTCGGTTTCCAATTTACAATTAACACTACTTGAAGCTGTTCCAGTGATCTCACCACTAACTGCGAAGCTTAAAATTTGGCAGCTATTTGATCTTTCAGTTGAGGCCAAATTGCGGATGTTTTCTCAAAAAGAAATTGAAGTGCTTTTTGTTTTAAGCCTGGCGGACCTAAGCCTCGCACTGAGAATTCCATCTTCTTTGATGTACTTTGATCATCATTAAAAGTCGGATTTGGTCTACTGCAGTACTTGATCTATATATGTAGATTTTTATGGAATCGTCTGGTTGTCCTTTTATAATTTCTGCTTCCTTTCGTTTTATATTTGTCCTTATCATCAGTGAACCTATCTATAAACTGATCCCTTGTGTCCTTCCAAGCTGACGCTGCTGCTATTCCATGATACCATTGAGCGGCTGGACCTCTTAACATTGAACCGAATAAAGCTCTTTCTCTGTTATCATGTGCGTCCTGATTGTCACCAGGGTCTGCTGGTCTAGTGCCTAGAGAAAAAGCTATGTTTTTTCTACTATATCAAGAAAATCTCTTGCATCTTCATTTGGGTCTAAGCCTTTGAATTGTTTGAGAGCTAAGTCTGGATATGCAACTACGTTCGCTATTTCGTTTTATCTTAGTTTAATTTGGGTATGAAAACTTAGGATGTTTGATATACTCGTTTCTTTCTTAGGCTGAATTAAGTTTTAATGAAGTTTTGTGAGGTTTATTGGATTTGTTGAATATAGTTTTTTCTTAAATATATCGAATGCTATGAGGACGGTTGAGTTTTTTCAGAATAGAGAGTGTTTCTGGTATATTGCTGCGGGAAAGTATAGTTTATTCGTGAATATTTTTGTTTGGATGTTTTGACAAGATGATAAATTGGTCCTTTTGGAAATTGGTAATTGATCGCTTAATTTTTTGGGATTTATTTTTGGATTATGAGCTTTAAATTTAATGCTGTTGTTTTTTCTAGAAATTTATTTGCATTCCAATTTTTGGCATTTTGTAACTCGGCATTTTTTTGTAACCTTAGGATGTTTCACCTTTGGAAGTTTGTTTTGGTAGTCTGTTTCAAGTAACTTCGAATTATGGTAACTTTTATTTAGTTTTGATTTGAATCGAACTAATTAGAGTTATATTTTTTAAAAGAAAAACAATCTGGAGCGAAGCCATTAATCGTTCTTCTGGTATATATATATTTTTTTGATTGGAATTTCTTTGGTTGAAAAATTATATCTATGTCTGGAGTGTATCTTCGGAGAAGGGCGTTTTGTTCGTTAAAATGTTTAGATAAAAAGCTTATATGAAGTTTTAGGTGATAGTAGTGTATCAAAGAGTTTTAATAATAATTTTGCTTCCTCTTTTCTGTTGCAATTTTAAAGTACCATCAACTATTTCTTTATGAGTTGACTTTAATTTTTTCCAATAGTAGGTTATTTCCATCTTTTAGCTATTTGATCTTTTAGTTTCTAACGTTTTAGGTAAAATTGAGTGAAATTGGGCAAGATTTTGTTAAAATGGACGTTTTCCTAGCTTAATCGGTTTTATTTTGACCTAAATTGTACCAAATTTCTTTGAAATGTAAGTTTATTTTATTTCATTGGACTTATTTTGAATGAGTTTGGGGAATTTTTAGCTTAACTGTGTGTACTTTTTGTAGTTTTAACCTAAAATTAGCGTAGGTTCAAAGAATTTCACTCATTTCGATCGCTGAAAAAAATCAGGAAAAACACACCTACAGTTCCTTTTTAGTGAGCGTAGATAGTTCCTTTCCTAAATTGGACCAAAATTTCCTTCCCTGGTGGGATAATTAGGTTTAGAGTTAAGATAAGTTAGGTTCGAGGACAAGCCTAGCAAAAGGGTGAAAATAATAAAACGCACAGTTGCACAATGAAGAATTGGGAATGAATCTGAATGTAGCACAGGTATGATTGTGTATATGATGGGTGAAATTAATTTATTAATCAATTAGATTACACTTAGATTGCGTACAAGACCTCTTACCCCCTATTTGAGAATGAATTGAAATATTTAATAACTTTTGACCATTTTCGGAGCGTCTAAAGAAAAATTGAATCTGTATATAGATAGGTTAATCTTTGTTAAGGAAGCTGTTTCATGTGAAAAGATCATTAACTTAACTGAATTATATGTTTTACTCGGCAATTTGGTCAGAGAGCGTTTCCTTATATTATATCAGGTAGTTATAAAAATTTTGAGTTAAATTATCATGAGATAAAGTTGGCAGAGAGTTGTCAAAAGAAGATGAGCGATAGAGAAAATATTGATAACCTTAACTATATCAAGGACTATCTGGCAATAGGGCGGTCAATTAGATTGCGGGTCCTCTAGCTTTTTGAATTAGAAACTGGCTAACAGAAAGTCACTTTCCTAATATTTGCAAAAACTACAATTAAATCTTTTGCTTTCAGACCTATATGGATGTTAATTTTACTAACTTTTGCTTTTTTGTTCTTACAATATTCGTTTGAAAGTAGCGGAGAGGAAGTGTGGAGAAGTTGTTGTCAAACTGTTGCCGTGAAGAGGTACACTGTCTAATCCACACTGTCAGTTGTCGTATTGTCCGATGCGAGAGTGGTGTCCTTTCGTTTTCCTTTCGGTCCGTTAAATTTGACTCACAAATTTTCTTATTTAAATTTGTTTAGGTTCTGAGTGACTCTTTTTAATGCAAACATTTACTCTAAGAGAATTTAAGAAATTTTTAAGAAGAATAATTAGAAGAAAACTGAAAGTTTTTTAGCCGTCCGTTTCAGCGTAAGAACTTAGAGACAATGAAAATTGCAGGCAGGCTGATCCAAAACAATTACAGTTTAGTTTTCTCTGCACCTGCTATTAGAATTCAGTCCTCTTTTTATATCTCATCCTCCGTTCGATCAGGAGACTGTTATTTGCATTTTTTGACTTTTTGTTTAAAAAATCAATATTTTGTTTGACTGGCGGAACTCACAGTATTACCACCTGCTTTAGTTACTTTTAAACTCAGAGCAACGTGGGATTCGTTTTTTTTCAAAGCAAAAACAATATACACACTCCGCTTGACTGGCGTCGTGGACAAATACTCAGTTCCTTCGGTCATCCGTTAAACTTTTTTTAAAAATCTTAGCCTTTTCCCAAGGTTAATAAAACTGAAGGAATAAAAAAAGTCCGTTCAGAATTCGAAAAAAATATATATTTGGATTTGACTTTAAAATTTTTAAGTTAACTTTTTCAGTTAAAATCTGAATCAAATGTAAAGTTAAAAAGGCATTCTCATCTAGAGGTGTGAACAAATTTAGAATAGAAAAGAATTCACTCGGATCTTATGTAAACAATTAAAACAATATCCTTTTATATTAGTGCAGCATTTTCAATACAACACCATTCCTACAGCAAACCCAACATTCAAAATTCAACTGTGAAATAGTTCGTATAGTTCTAGTTTATATCATTCAAATATCAATTCTAAGGCATATACAGTGGTTTTTCACATTTGTTTCCAACGTTTTCAATCCCCACCACCACCTGCAACTTTCAAAGTTTTATATTTTCCTAATAAAGTCCAATTGTAATAAAATTGATAATGCGGATTATTAATCGAATATTACACACACATATAGTCCCCAATTACAAATAAAGTACAAAAAACAAACAGGAGGTGGAGAACAAACCACTAACTTTTTTTTACCAACACAAAAAAAATTATATTCAAGCTCACCAGAAACACCTTTGAAGCAATGAGCAGCTGTTATAACATACCGAGATGAAATCACAGTTCCCCCACAAAACCCTTCATCACTACTCACAGTGACATAGAACAGCCGTACCCATTAACTATTGATCTCGTTTCAATTTTTTTCGTTTCGATTCCTTCTTTAAGTGGTGGCGTCATGTAAACAAAATCAAGAACAGCACATAGAACTATAGCTTGCAAGAAACCCATAATGTACATTTTAGTTTTTTTCAAGTTTCGTAAGTTTTTTTTTGAATCATGGATTCTGTTTCAATTTTTGCTCGCGTTTTTCATTTAAATAAAAACTGCTGTTAGTTGGTAATTACTTCTATGACATTTAATTATAACCGGGAAAGTTGTAGAAGTCAAAAATTTGATCTCTACCGCTAGTTTTTGAATTCCAAAAATCCAAATTTTTTGAAATAGCAAAAAATCAAACCCCTATCCACAAAATCAAACCCCTACGGAAGAATTGAAAAATTGCCCTAATTGTAAAGCTCGGTCGGAAATGTCTGAACACTTGTAAAGCTCGGAAATGTCTCAAAATGCAAAAAAAAACAATTCTAGAAGGTTCAAAGCAGTTTAGTAACACACTAGGATAATTACAATCTATACGTAACATACTCCGCCGTCTACCTGTTCTTGGGAGTCCATCTCTGGCGCCATCTCTGGAACCAGGCACGGCCAGGAAGAAAACCATATTAATCTGTTGCAAGGAATGTCCCGGACTTCCTGGAGCAGTAATAGTCCTGGAGCAGTAAGAGTCCAGTCTAGGAAGGTGCTAGTATTAGAGAAATTTTGCCAGGAACCAGAACTAGATTTTCATGTTGTTGAATCTTTTTGAAAGTTGCAAAAATTTTCGAACACTTGCGAAATCAAAATCACCAATGATAGCTCATATTCAAAAACCGAAATGTTAATTGACAATCATCTAGCAGTTAAACTGCATTTGTAGTTTCACCATTGAAAGTAAAAGTTGAGCCTTGCTCAGATTTATGATAACAAAACATAATTTTTCTATTGGCTAGATAGTTTCTACTTCAAAAAAGTGTGTTTGCTTTTTTGGGAGGATTTACTGTCGGTATTCGCACATTTCTTCCCCACACATTTCGCCCCTCAAATTTTACATTAAGAAAACGGCGGTTAATTAAATGAGCAATACGTTAGGGGCGAAACGTGCGCGGACAATTGTGTGAAATTATTCTCGCTATGTGAGCCGGTTACTTAACTAACACTCTACGGTCAAGGAGAAACAATAGAGAAATAACTACATGGCCAACAGTTTTGATTGAAGTTATCGGATAAAGCGATGACGACAATTCTTGCTTAGATATTCAGGAAAACTTTTATGGTACTGACGTGATTCCACTTTTATATCTAATCTAGTTTAGCTAATGCTCTGTCTTTTTATAATGTTTTAAGTTTCAGATTAATTCACTTTTACTCTTTTATCCTTTTATCCTTTTAACTGTTTAAAGTAGAGTTAGCTGTAACAAAGTAAAATTTTATCATGGCGCATTCAAACAACGAATCTAACGTGAGAGGAACACCTCCATTTTGACAGAACCATACGGTGGACCCACCTATCCCTTGGGAAGATTGGACTGATCTTTTGCACTTAGTAATTATTGCAAAAGAAAATGTAGATATCGAGAATCTACTAAATCCATCGGAAAGACACCATCCTCTTCCACTAACACTAGTCAATCCGACGGAAAGCGAATCGGATAACCAAAGAAAAACACTGATAGAGAGAAAAATTCATGAACAAAAACGATACGACGACGAGGAAACGACATCTATCAATCCGAAACAAAGAAAGTTAGTGGAATGAAAAAAGACAAAGTCGATTAGAAAAATCATTCAATCCTCTAACTAGCCCTAGAAAACAATGGAAAATAGAACTTCGGCTAGAAACTCACATAAGTAAAAATACTTCGAATTTCCTTCAAAGAGTTTAGGGAAAATTTAACAACTGCCTTCGTCAGGAAAACAAACGTCACATTTGATAGGCGCAAACTGTTAAAACGGAAGCAAAACGACAGAGATTCATTGGAACAATTTTGGGGAGCCTCAGCTGAAATGGCCAAAAAGTGTGACATATCCGCCGGAGAGGACTAATGCATAAGGAATTCCCAAACATCCAAGTGGACTCTGCTAGCCCGGTCAGTTTTCTCAAGAGAAACGTTCTGCGTCTCCAAGGACTTATATTGCGGGTTCAAGGACAATGCCATCAACATCACCGGCAAATTGATATTTCCGATTTTCTCAAATGGATGATTACACGAAGATTGATATTTTTTGTCATCAACATCACCGGCAAACTGATACTTCCGATTTTCTCAAATGAATGATCACACAAAGATTGTCATCCTCAAAATGACAACCTGCCCAAATGGGGGATAGACAACACACAGAAGTATTTCCCGCACTTCCAGTCGAACAAAATGTGTAAGTCAATAAACTTTATTTCCACCTCAGAAAAAGACAAGGAAATCGTTCAAAATCTCAAAGACCTTTAAAAGTTTATTTCTTCGGATTGGAAAAAAAATCAGATAAAAATTACCCATTCTCACGAGCCACTAAAGCCCATTCAATTAAAAGGTAAATTCGTTTATCTCCATTTACTCGATTCAGTTACAACCAAATTGAACCGGCTAAAAAACGAAGGAAATAATAATAGTGTGGAAAATTGCAACGAAGATCGTTTCAATAGCCCGATCGTCATTACTTGCAAAAACACAAATCGATCAAGTTGGCATTAGATTCAAAACTTATCAACAAGCAAATCTACAAAAATAAATATCAAATGCCAAACATTAACGATCTTGTAGATAACGTACCAGCTCAAATTTCAAATGATTCGCTTGGAGAGGTATGGTTCACAAACCTTGATTTAAAAAATGCCTGTAGTCAACTCGCCTTAGACATGTTTACTAGTTATTAGTGCAACTTTACTACTTTACTATAGTTGGCGGCAATACTATTGTCATTTGTCAGTTTTTAACTGGTTTTCATGGATCAGGCGATATGCCTAACAAATTTCAAAGAGTCATGAACCCAACATTAGAAACGACCACTTTTTCAAATTGTTACTTTCACGACCTTTTAATTGCATCCAAAGGAAGCTTTTTAGACCACAAAATCATGGTTTTTGAAATCTTATCAATTTTAGACAATTAAAATTTTGACATCAAGTAGCCAAAATGTAAATTCTTTTGAAAAAAAATCGAGGTGCTGGGATTTAAATTTTGAAGTTCAGGATTTTCCCCGTTGACCATCAAAACGAAGGCAATAAAGGACCTTAAGGAAATAAGATCGTTTTTCGGTTCCACGAATCAATATATCAATTTTGTTCCTAATTTAGCATCTCTGAAAAGCCCGCTCCGCCCCATGCTAAATAAGAAATCTATTTTTATGGGAATCATGATCATACAGAAGCTTTCGAGAAAATCAAACAAGAAACTGTTAATCAGACAGAAAATACGCACTCCGACGTAAACTGTAATACTAGAACAATAACCGATGAATCACAAATAGGAATTAGGGACATCCCTAGATCAACTCCATGGGAACGATCTGAAGACGTTTTTTTTGCCTCTCGGTTCTTAAATCCACACGAACCTAAATACTCTACTAACGAATTAGAACTTTTAGGAGTCATTTGGGCGGTGGAACATTATAAGAACTAACTCTATGGATCAGACTTTGAAGTAATTACAGATCATAAGGCCTTACTTTCCACCCTTTCAACAAACCACGGGAATAGAACATATCACAGAAGACTAACAAGATGGGTCGATAGGTTGCTACCTTTTCATTTACAATTAAGCACCTGGCAGGAAAAGATATGGGATTCACCGATTCAATTTCAAGAATTCGATCTGAAAACGCCTTCCCTCATCACATAATGACGAAGAATTTTTAGTCGCGAACATTGATAAAATTAAGAAAGCAATTTATCTTTCGGATAATTAAAGACAGTCAAGCAATGCTATTGGTTCAAGTATGGAATATTCCGATAACGCAAAATTACGTAATTGCCTCGTAGAATCATGTCTAAAACTTATTAACTCAACCTTTTCAATTCGCAACTCAAATCATAATCGAACAGAAATCTGTACCTCAAAATGTATAACTACTTTTTATTCAAAAAATAACCCTTTAAAATTTTCTACTTCTAACTCCGCGTTTTTTTAATTTTTATTTCCAAATTGGAGCATACTCAATTCCGCTTTAGATAAAAAAAATTGTAAATAGTGTAAGTATGGAAAATAACTTCCGATAATCAAGTTTCTCTAGAATTCCCATTTCTACATGAACAAGAAAAACGTGTAATTAAATACCGTGAAAACTTGAAGTTGCCCGATCGTCCTTAGGATTTAAATACTTTATTTAGTGCCAAAGTAGTCACTTTCTTAACCGAAGTTGACCCAATGTTGAGCCTCATCGTGAAAGCACTTCAAACAAAGCCGAGACGATAAATGCAATTTCTCCATATTTTCACCATTTCGTACCGGGCCTACACGAATCTGACGGGTGGTTACACATGGACGGTAAGTTAGTTATCTCCCGTACCCTGAGAAATGCTATGATGGAGACATTACAGGGTACACATCCCGGTCAGTTCGGAATGCAATACTTAACTCAATACATCTGGTGGCCTCATAATAACAGACAGATTTATTTCCATGGCATATATTATTCAGAATGTACAAAGACGGATAAGAATTTAAAAAGCGTAATTCCAAATTCTCAAACTAGTAAACTTCCCTCTCACTTGAACCCAACAAAGAACTCAACTTAGACTTCGCTGGCCCTTTAGATTCTCACTGGGGCATAAATAAATATATTTTACTTTTCATCGATCGATTTTAAAAACTTCCATTGGCAAAAACTACTACATTTGCATCTTCAAAAACAGTTAACAATTTTTTTCATGATTATATCTTCCTCAATGGCATACCCTACCCCATTAGAGTAGACCATGCATCCTGTTTTACAAGCCAGAATTTCAATTTTTTTTGTGACTCGAATAACCTTAAATTAACCTTTTGTACAGTAGGAGACCATCGCTCCAACGTATAAGTTGAAAAACTTGCACATACTGTAAAAATCAAACTGTTGGCAATGGTTCAAGAATTTCAAAAGTTTACACTACAAGATGCTATCTCAAACATGATCTGGAATCTTTGGTCCTCTTCTCAATCAAAATTCAAATGCTCTCGAATCGAAAACAATTTAATGGAAAACCAAATACTATTTGGAAACAACTGTCATCTGATAAACCTTCCAATGGAATTTTAGACAAAGGGAAATTGATACTTTGCAAGGAAAGAGCTAAGGACTGGAATGCGGACGACAGAATGGAGGATGGATATAAATACACTGTGATCCCTAAGAAGAATCAGACATCTCTGGAGAAGGGATATGAATCAGACAACCCATCTACCTCAAAACCTTCCCCGTCTAGACTGCCCCTTCAAAATCCATTTGAAGGTAAAATCATTTGGAAAACCAACCCGTTTTACAAAGAATTGAAACAAAAAATTCTAAATACATCTAGCACTACTGTAAAATTATCCGATTGAAAAATAATCAAACAATTAGACATCGCTCTTCCAAAATCAAATTCCTCTAAAATCCGATACTTTAAAGGCAACATATTGCTCCTATATTTTCCTAAACCCGATTTGGAAT